TTCTGGCTCTTAGCATAGGCACCTTATATGGATCCTGCCAGCAAAAACTTGTACCAATCCATACCTTCTGTTGGAGATCCCGCCGACGTCAGAATTGAGGAAAAAAAACAAACAGCCACTCCGGTTTCTTCGAAACATAACAAAACAACACAAAAGTTCAGCAACAAACCAAACGAACGAAGGGAGATTTCTTCGCACTACGTAAGGGTTTCCATTGGGTTCTTCAGATTTCGAAATATTCCTTTCGTTCAGCGATATGGGTTATCAGATTTCGGGGGTCAGGTTTCCTTCATCGTCGCCGGTCATCAAGATTTCGGGCTGGGGTTTATGGGTAGGTCTCAATTTTTGGGGGAGATCTCAATTTTTTGCAGGAATTACCGGGAACTCGTGAATTTGGGGGAGAGAAATCTGGTGTTTGATTTTGGGATTTTTTAGTTTGGGCCGGGTGGACATGTAACCGTGTAAACCAGCACTTAAGGCAAAGCGTACCTGTAGCGCGACTGATCCAAGAATCATGCTTTGTTCTTCCACTATTATCACCAAAAGGACCAAAATACAATCCCTTTCTTCTCACCCCCTCCACCTCTTCAACATGGGCCTAAACTCCCATGCCTTTGCAGGCAACCCTATAAGATCAAGAACCCCAAAACAAACTGACCCACTTTCTCCTCACTCTGCATTTCAGATTCTCAAGACCCTCCTTTTGAGTCATAGTCAAGAATCCATTTCCCCTGATTTCAAGGTCTTGCCTTTCAGAAAGGGAAAGCCTTTGGCTGGCACGACCGCGGATTCTCCGGCCGATGGGACTAATTGGCATCTGGGTTGGTTGAGTTTGAGGGAGTGTAAGGAGTTCTTGGAGAATTCAGAAGTGAGTCTGAGTGAGGATTCGGTGGTTTATTTGGGTTGTAAATACGAGGGTGATGTTGTCTATTGCGCTATTGATGTGTCTGATGCTAGCGGATTGGTGAGTGAACTGGTGGCCAGACAGTTTTGCTTTGTGGAGTTAAGGACTCTTATGGTAGCCACTGATTGGGCTGATGCAAAAGCAATGGGTGAGCTTTCGGTTGCTGGCCATGTAAGTGTTGCTCTCTAGGCATATAAGCACATATTTTTTGGGTTTTCGATTTTAGTTTTCTATGGGAAATATTCGATTTTCTTTTGAAACTTATACTTGCAATTGAATTCTAGAATAATTGTAACAAAATTTAAGTTTAGTGATCAATTCGAAACAGAACTAAGTTTAATGATCAAACTGAAATTTCGATAGACTTTTATCGATCACCAATGTATTATTACCGGCTGCGAAACACTTTTTGCAGGGGGGTATAGGTCATTAGTGGTTTTAGCATCATGTCATTGTGAAAAAGGACAGCTCTCTTGATTAAAAGACAAGAGTTGTTTATAAGAGACCTAGGATTATTCACTATTGTAATATTGTTTGATTATAATTGTAAAAAGTAGAAGATACGGAAAAGAAACTCAGGATTTATTTTCAATATTTCTCAATGCAGGACAGGGTAATGTAGTGGTTAGGAACGGAGCTAGGTTAAAAGAATTGTGGATGCAAGTTTCACAAAATTTTAATTGTGGGGGCAAAAATTGAAAACTATAAGGATAATTTTGAAAATCTTTGGCAAATTTTGAAATTTGAAATTTAATATGGGGGCAGCTGACCCCACTGCTCCCACACTAAATCCATCCCTGGTAGTCGTGATAATAATTGTTTGTGTGTGAAGCTATCTGACTTAAATCTTAAGAGAGTGAAAAAACAACTGAGTAGGAGGAAAAGTATAGCAGAAGACCACTGACTATTAGCGTATTTACTTGGAGCACTTCGAAATTTGTTCCTATTATCAGGTTTTTTTTTACATTAATTTTGATATGTCATTTTAGTAGGTGTTAAAGTGAATACCTGAGTATATGAGTTTAGTCGTGTTTGCACATTGTTGCAAGAATTTTCTAAACTGTAACTCATAAAAGAAATCTGAAGGCGACTCAATAATTTAGTTGCGGATATCCTGGTGCTGCCATGGTGCTTCCGTGCTTCAAATATATAACTATGCATATTGGGAAGCCGACAAAGATTTGGCTTGTTTATCTGCTGAAGATAGAAAATTTTCAGACATGAGCAATATGTATGATATTGAGCTTGAGCATCCCAATAATGGGGCTAGTGGAAAATTGAAAAGTTGAAGAAATACTTAGCCCCTGTTTGAGCCACGTTAAAATTTTCATTTTCATTCTTCTACTCATTTTTAACCATACATTCTTCAATAAAATAATATTTTACATCACATCAATAACTTTTCTTTTTTTTTGAACCACACATTCTCCATTAATCTACTATTCCAAAATACATTCTTCCAAAATAATGTGGCTCAAACACACCCTGACAAGGCAACTAGTTTGAGTGGGACTGACAGTTGCCCAACCTCTTTAAAACCCTTAAACCTGGTACTTTAGAGGCAATCTCGATGGCAATCAATGATGGATTTGGAAGGATTCTTGGTTGGAAGTTCATTTTGCTATCACCTGATTTTCACTTTAAGTTGCTCGTTATCCATCTCCAAAAGGCTGTAGCCTACTAATACTTGAGTGTAAATTCTTTCAATTATTATTTGGTCAGGCCAGAGGCCCAGAGCCCTGATAGAATGGCATAACATAGCTCGTTATTGTGGATCATGTGGAGGTAAGACAATCCCTATGGAAGCTGGAAGACGGAAGCAGTGCTCAAATGAGTCGTGTAAAAAGAGGATTTATCCTCGAGTTGACCCAGTACGTGACGTGTTTTTATTTTTATTTCTTTTTAGCTGAAAATTTGACATGTCATATGGATCAATGCTCATCTTTCTCTCTGGTTGTTGCAACAAAGAGGTTGTGATCATGATAGTCATAGATAAAGAAAATGACCGTGTTCTATTAAGTGACATTGAGATTTGTGCCTCGGATGTGGAGTTGCCTTGCTGGCTTTATAGAGGTATGTGATCCATCCTACCAGTTTTGAGCCGCTTTTTATACAGAATTGAGGAAATTGTTTATCTAATCATATCAATCTGGGGAAGCAGTTTATAATGTTCATTTCATTAATCCATTCCTTGTGATTGGTAGTCATCATCAGATATCATATTCCATTTATGAAATTTTCACTGTAATTTCCTCATTTTTGTCGCATTTTACCCTTTATCCTTTTCCCCTTTTTTTTCCCTACCTTTTGGACTGTACTTTCTGTCATCAGCCAGGAGAAGGCCTAGAAGAAGCAGTGAGGAGAGAAACATGGGAGGAAACTGGGATTGAAGTTGGCGAAGTTGTCTACCACAGTTCTCAGCCATGGCCAGGTGTGATTAACTTTACCGTGTTCCATTCTCCTTTCTGTTCGCGTTTTCTACATTTGTTATGGTTGATTTTGCAAGATGATAATTGTGACTAGGTTTGGGATGAAATAGCAGATGAAGTAGAAATAGAAGTTAAGACAATAGTACAGATGATAATTTTTGGCTTGTGACTAGCAGAAAAGGAAAACTATTGAGATAGACTTGGATCTCTTGGTTGAAGACAAAACTTAAATAAATAAATATGTGATTAAGTCTAAAACATAGGTCAGATTTCTACTTGTTTCGCTTAAATTAAATGTTGCTTATTTTGTTGCTTATTGTTTTTTTATTACTTAGGACTTATGAATTATGTTTAGAGGAGACAAGAGACCTAGACCACAAATATGATTAAAGTCTAATTAGGGTTTTGCCTGTTGGGTATATGTTCGACTGTAAACAGTATGGAGATGCTAGTTTTTGATTGCTTTGTATATCTTATATAATATTGAGATCATTTCTCAATTATTCCAGTTATTCATTATTATGTATGAATCAACAATAACTGAACTAATGAATTTTCGGAGTGCTACTCATATTCCACTATTTTTTGCTGCATCAAGTCTTACTGCAATCCATTAATAAAAATTCTGCATGATTGATAAAAAGATGAAACCCGGCCTTGAGAAGTGCATTGAAGACATAAATTAAATAAATAAATTTGTTCTCTAACAACTTAAGCTTTTAAACGAAATGGTATTATCCTTTTAACTAAGAAAGAGAAGTAAAATATATGTTCATTGTACTGTTCAATACATTCTAGTACTGTGTATGCACTTCCGATCTAAATCTTCCTGCTATGAAAGTAGCTTCCCCGTCCTCAGGTGCTGCTCAAGAGGCCCTGCCACAGGCGGCAGCACCGGAAAAAGTTGCCCACCCCCATCCCAATCAAGAAGAGCGTGCGGCACTTTGAGAAGAAGTGCAGGCAACAAAATTTTGTCAAATGTCACACTTGTGGCTGTATGATAACTTGTATAAATAACTGGATACATCCTTTATCCAGTAATATATACTGGTGATAGTTGAGCTGTGTTGGAGATGTCATTTTTATAAACCTTCTATGTATGGTAATAGTCCAACCCCTATCTTTGTATCTATAAATTAACAAATTTATGATAAAAATGAAAGTAAACAAGTTTGGCAATGTAAGAACGCTGCTCACTTCCTGAAGATAGTACAAGATTTTTTTATTTTTATTTTTAAAATGGCCTCTAACCTGCTTGTAATAACTTTAACCATCATTAGGAGCTAGAATGGAGAATGTTCCATATCGCTTCAGTTACAAGATTTAGAACAGAAAATTTTTCAATTCACTTTTTTGGTAATGTGAATTTGACTTCTCTTTTTCTAAGTGTCCCTTCCAGCATGTCATGCTTCGTGATGTCAGATGTAGTTTGTTTGTGAGAGATATTTCCAATTGAAAAATGATTTTTTTGGATTATGGTTAAAAGGTAGGGATAAGTTACGAGTCCCATAAAATGTGTGGTTGAAAATGATTTGGGAGAAAAATAATTTTAAAAAAATCTCTCCCAAACTAACCCTAAGACTAAACGTAATGGAAAATTCAAATATCTTTTCAAATGTATCAAAATCTTAGTGTGTTGGCTATGTATACATTGCCCTTAAAATAACCCAGACGAACGTCCTGATCAAGATGTATATTACAAAGTTTCAAGAGAGCTGGACATTTCAACTAAAGCTAAATGAAATTATCCTATCGTTGAGTGCTAGGAAGCATGAACACCTTTGCAATTTAAAACGCATTTTCTTAGTTTGTAGTCAACATATAGAACATACTAGTAGTTGGCTAGTTGCACGTATATCACATGACTTGTGTAAATTCGATTTACAAATGCTGGAAATGGGGTTTTGCAAGTCCAAACGGTTCTAGTTTTTTATATGCATCTTGTTTTCAGGCTACTATGTTCTTACTCGGTTTCTCATCAGTTGGACCCAGTAGCATGCCGTGCCAGTTAATGGTTGGGTTCTATGCATATGCCAAGTCTTTGGAGATAAATGTGGATAAGGAGGAGTTAGAAGGTACTTCTGTCATACTAATGGATTCTGAATGAACTTTCCCTCTCCACAGTTTTATCTTATACCACAGCAAATTTCTCCTCCCATTTTGATGAAAAATTAATCTGTGGTAGTCTATTGTCACTAACAGTTACAACACTATTGTCACATCATGAGGTGGTGATCTTAAACAAAAATCTTTTCTCAGACGCTAAATGGCACACTCGAGAAGATGTAAAGAAGGCTCTTACATTGGCCAAATACAAGAAGGCACAGAAGACAACAGCAACTAGACAAAATGTGCAAAGGGGTTGAGAAAGGCCAAAGCTTGTCTGCAGATTTCAATGTTGAAAGTGGGGAACTTGCTTCTATCATTATACCTGGACCATTTGCAATTGCTCATCATCTCATCTCTTCGTGGGCCAATCAAGTTCACGATAATGGCGATGGAGCACAGATGAAACAAGCTGACAATTCGCTTTCAAACTTGTAGTTTCAGAACAATACAACTGTCTATTATGCATGTTCCAAAGTTGTACTTTTTTTTTTGTACTTATCGACTTGTAAATCCTATAATTCCTTTTCGCAATGTTGCTTTCCTAGAGAATGATTTTTTACATTCAAACCTTAGAATTCAATCATTGTTTAAGAAATCCATCAGAATTATATTATTGCACATGACTTTGCCTTCTAAGAATCCTGCAGCGTTAAGATGTGTTTGATGTGAAGTATTGGACATTACCATTTTACTTCTCTTTTTCTTTATTAGGGACAACACTATATAGTCTGTATAGATGATATTCGAACAACCACAGATATCCTCAGTTTAAGGACTCTCTTAGAACTTGTATAGAAGAATATGTCCATTGAGGAAGAAGGATATGCAAATATGGTGAAATTTTGAACAATTTGTTGTAGTTATACCTTGCCAAGTCCTGCTAAATTTCTATGCATCTTTGCATCAGAGTGTGCCCATTTGATCGTCGATCTAGCTAAAGAATCCATAGGATCAAGACATCTCTTAAGAAGAGGATCGTCTCGAGGCAGAAGTCCATGGAACTCATCAGAACAAAGGATGACCATATTCACACCTCTAATCAAAAGAGTTTGAATTGCAATTCTTGAAAGATTTCTTGCTCCTTCAATGTCATTCTTGTTCAGTGCTTCAATTGCAGGCATTATAATATGCTCCATTGTTGGTTTATCTGGCAGCACAGCCTCCAAGCCCTAAAAAGAAATGCACCAAACTGTGTACTTACATAACTGGACAGTTCAACATAAAGGATTTAAACTCATTTTTCTACAGTAAAATTCTATCTAATTCATTATACCCTACATGTATTCCAGATGGTCGTTGATTCTGGATCATCTTTTAGCAGCTTGCCGAAGCAAACACAATCAGCAAGAGTATTAGTATGTACACAAGTCAGTTCTAGTGTCTAGGAAAAATGGATGCAAAAATTTCTTTGACAAACCATTTCAATAGTACGGGTGCTGCCATGCCACGAGGCAAGAACAGGGAATTAATTAGAAAGCAGAAGTTATGCAGTTAGACCTTGTGTTTTGTCCGAAGTTTATTGGGGAATATTAAACAGATTGTCACGACTAACTTGTACTAATAAGCAAGTTCATGTTGGAAATCTTTGAGAAAGTAGGAGAATGAACCTTCAGACACCAAATTGAAGAAGGAATTCATAATACGAACAGAAGAATATGAACCAAAATTTGAAGAAAACACCGAAAATGGACAGGACCGGACACAAATGGAGTCTTGAAATAACACTGCCCTGAAAGAAATATTTGGCCCCTTTAGAACTTGTGATTTCTTAGGGATTCACCGGCAAATAGCTCCAGGATTTTAACAAGCCTAGAGAGAGAAATCTGTGTTGCAGTAAAAGATTCATATACCTGAATCTGTAATTTCTTCTGATAAAAACCAGCCACCAAATCTGAAGCCAGCACCCCAATTCTAATACTACTTCCTGCTTCAAGTGGCTTCATTTTTGCTTCTTTAAGCTCCCTTGCAACACAATCAAACATATTCAGGGAAATTACAGAACATCCCTTAAAGACTTCTTCATGCCACAAATGAGAGACACGGCATGACATAACAATGCACCTCGACCCGGACTTCTCGAGAAATTCTCTTTTCCCCCTCAAATTCTCAATTATTAGTCCATGGTTTACCTCTTTTGGGACATGTTTTGCGTAGACCATAGAACGATGAACTGCGAGTTCTCGTTTTAGTATTGCCGGATCATTACAGACGACGAAAGGAAAACATTCTTTGTTATTCTTTAAACTGAAAAAGACCATCTTCTCCAAGAAAGTAAGTGTAGAGATAGTAGATAAACCTCCAATGATGCCAACAGTATTTTCTTGGTTGATCAATAATTTAGGAATATGATTTGAACTGATCATCCTGTTAGATTTGGATGAACTTAGCTTTGTTCCATGATCGCTCCTTTTCTTAGAGAGATTAGCTGTGGAGATTGAA